CCGTTCTCATGGGGTTATTGCTATATTATTACGGTACTTCCTGCGGGATGTAGGCTGAATTAAAGAAAGAGTTAGGAGTAAAATGCAAAATGGCAAAATTACTTAGAAGGTAAAAAATATAATAACTATTTAATCATATAGTGAAAAATACTGTAGAGTAAAAAGAAAAATAATTTTTCGTTTTTTGTTTTACTTCTGCCATATGTGTTGCAAGCCAAGAGATGATCAATGTCAAGGATAGGTATTTCAGTTTGAATCGGATTCTCTTGCAAACAGTCGGTTTGTGGCCTTATCAAGACTCGAAACTTGATCGACTTCAGTTATGCTTCATCTACATTATCTTGATAACTAGTATTATATTTCAAGTATGTTTTAAAAATATGTTTTTGTATATGTATACTTGGTTTTATCAAGAGTTATCAATAACTAACAGAACATTTCATTACTTCTCAAAGAAAAATTAATTATAGCTTACACCATTTCTGACTAGAAAAACTACTCTCGATCTTTGTATCAAAAGTTTTTCTATCGCTTCTGCTTCTATTTGTTTGACGTTAAAATACAATTCGTTCTATATTAACAGCAAAAATGTAAGTTTTGTGTTTGTTATATTCAATATTAAAACTATTCTCGGAAGAGCACATTTGATAAATTTATATATCACATGGCATCAACTGTTTTCTTGTGAGACAAGTGCAATAGGAAATTTTGTTTTTACTTGACAGTTGAAATATTTAATGGGAGAACTCCAATGTATTTGTCAAAATTTGAAAAGCAACGAATTGATGATTGTAGACAAGTACGGAGAAATTGGTAGACGTTGCACGGCAAAACTGTCAGGTAAAACATTTCTACAGTATGAACGTAACAGTTACAACTGCGCGAACGTTGTAGTTTAAACTAGATTAAATGGTTTTCAGTATTTTAAAATGTATTTTATACATACAGCCATCTGCACTATACGCAAATATATCTATAACGCTATGTTAATATAAGATCTTAATTATGTCTGTCACAATGTTTAGTGTTTTTTGTTAGTGGTGCAGTTATTGGTGTGGCTAGTCAAGTATACTCAACTATTCTTTACATAAATTCATCAACAAACATATCTTTCCAAGATAAATATAAGGAACTTTTTATTACTGAATATTTTATCGTCCAAGAGCAATATTACTACTTTACGTTACTGCACATAATTGGAGCTCTCTCGATAGGTACGGTAGCATTCATAGCAACAGGAACAATGCTTATTGCATATTTATACCACGCTTGTGGAATGTTCAAAATTGCTAGGTAAGAACATTAATGTAAACTTAAATGGAAAAATTTACTTAACAAACATTCTTAATGTTTATAAGAAAAAACTCACCATTAGCACTAAAAATTTTATGTGTTTCACTTTAATATTGTTTTAAACTTTGTAATAAATATGTATAAATATATAATCACACGCTAAGTATTTCAAGTTTGTTATGTGGATAAAATATCGAATAAACGTTTAAAAGTACTTACATTTATTATCTTGTATTTAAGTATAATATATTAACTTAGTTTCAAAAAATTGTTAGATTACATATCATGATTTCTTTGCAGTTTTCGCATCGAGCATGCGATGAACATTGATAAATATCAAAATGTTAGCCTGATATACAAAAATCTGATTTATACGAATATAGTATTAGCCGTCGATATTCATCGAAAAGCTATGATGTTAGTATTAACGCATTTAATACATGTACAATATATTTTATATAGTTGTGTTTAAAGGTTTTCTACATATCTGATTTCCACCTTTGAGACGACGTTTTTCTTCTTAATACTGTTTGGAGTTTTGACGTTGAGCCTCAATATGTTTCGTGTAAGTAACATTGCTTATTTATGTATATGTTTGTAAGAACAATTATATAGTAATAAAGCTAATATAGTAATAATCGGTTTTAAATAGTAATTACGTGTAAATTGTTTTAATTAAAAAACTATATAAAACGTATTATCTCAAAGTTATAATTATTATGCTAGTGTTTTCAGCTTGCATCATCTAAATGCCATATCGACGACTTTGTATTATATTGTGTGATAACAATCATCGCTTTTGCGTATATGTTTTGGGCTAATTTTATTGGACAAGAAATTACAGATCATTATAATGACGTATTTGTGACTGTGTAAGTAAAAGTTTTTATAGTATCTACGATTTTTCACTATTGTAATGAAACAAATGCGAACTTTATAAACAAATCTAATTTACATGTGACGTGCATCTAGATGTATAAAAATAGTACATATAGATAATAGTACATATAGATTTCTATAAAATAAAACAATTAAAACACAGTATTAAATACATTTATAATTATTGTGTCGTGCGTTTACATCGTCACACTCTAATTCTCAATGTACATTGAGTTATATTATGTAGGTATAAAATTCCGTGGTATTTATTTCCTCTACAGCTGCAAAAGTTAATAATACTACTGTTACAAAGAGGTAACAAAACATTTGGTCTGCCTGTTGGTGGAATGTTTCTAGCATCTTTACAATGTTTTGCTACGGTATAAATTATTCATTGTTACACAAAATGTATTATACATCAAACAAAAAAAACGAAATCAACAAAAAAGTATCTTTTATTTCAGTTGGTAAATGCATCGGTATCTTATTTTACCATTATGCATTCTATGAGATAATCAATAATGTATGATATATAAATTAAGAAAACATAATGACATACTACTTGACTGTATTGTTATCATAGGTAACAAATTTGTCACAAGTTATTGGTTTAAGTATAATTAAACTTTCTACTACTTTTTCTTAAAAAGATTACTTTCTGACGTAATCGTAGTAAATCTACTTAGAAAAGATTACTTTAAAAATTATTTTACCAACACAGAAGTTTCAAAATACTGTAAAATAATGTACTTATACGTGTGGAACATTTTTAAATGTTGCTTTGACAATTAATTAGACAACTGCAAAATCGAAATATGTTAATATATCTACCTTGTGCGATACATATATATATATATATGTATCGCATATATATATATATATATATATATATATATATATATATATATATATATATATCTTACATCGAAAAATTAAGTAGTATCTCGCAACGAATCTCCTAAGATAGAACGTATCTCACGAGCACATGTAGCGTACTGAATCATGTATAATCACATCTTGAAGAAAAAGTGATGTGCGCGTGCGCTACTTTTACATCACAACTTGTTGCATAAACATTATTCTATGTATGAGAAAAAAACATCTGTTAAATGTCTTTTGTCGTTTTATCGATTGCTTAAAAAAAGAATGCGTCACAAAGTGTGAAATTGCAAGTGTTCCGTTCTCATNGGGTTATTGCTATATTATTACGGTACTTCCTGCGGGATGTAGGCTGAATTAAAGAAAGAGTTA